AAGAAAATTTTAGTGCATACTCGAAGGATTTGCCTTCAGGAGAGGTTATCACTACTCCTGCCCCCGAACCATTTTCGGTGGAAGATCCATCCGTAAACACGGTCCAGACTTTCTTTTCATTGTCTAGCGCTTCTTGGTATGAGCATTCGGCCAAAAAATCCGCTAGGGCTTGAGCCTTAATGGCAGCCCTCGGACGATAGCTGATGCTGAATTCGGTGAGCTCAAAAGCCCACTTGGCTAGCCTACCAGATTTTTCAACCTTGCCGAGAACTTTTTCCAACGGCTGATCAGTTAAGACCACTATCTGATGACAATCAAAATAGGGCCTCAGCTTCCGAGCAGCTACTACTACCGCAAAAGCGACTTTCTCGAGTAGAGGGTAGCGAGTCTCGGCATCCGTCTGTGTATGACTGACAAAGTAGATCGGTTGCTGACTTTTGCTTTCTTCCTTCAGCAGTACTGCACTGATGGTGGCCGGGCTAACGGCCACATACAGGTACAAAGTTTCTCCTTCTGCTGGGCTAGCCAGCGTTGGGAGTTGAGCCAGATGCTCCCGAAGCTGTTTAAAGGCTTCTTTTTGCTCTTTCTCCCAAACGAGCTCTTTTGTTTTCGGGAGTTTCAGGGCTTTGAAGAAAGGTAACCCCTTATCCGAAGCTCTGGAAATGAACCTCGAGAGGGCTGCCATTCTTCCGGTGAGCCGCTGAACATCCCGCTTTGTTTTCGGCTCAGGAAGGTCGAGCGCTGCTTTGACTTTGGAGGGATTGGCATCAATCCCCCTCTTGCTGACTATGAACCCAAGGAATTTCCCTGGCTTCACGCCGAAGACACACTTCTTCGGATTCAACTTCATTTGATGCTTTCTTAAGGTGGCGAAAGTTTCCGCCAGGTCTTTAACATGGTCCTCAGGTTTTTTGCTTTTGACAATCGAATCGTCGACATAGACTTCCATGTTTCGGCCCTTTTGGTCGGCGAAAACTTGATCCACAAGCCTTTGATAGGTTGCCCCCGCATTTTTCAATCCGAAGGGCATCATTTTGTAATTGTACACCCCAGCGTTCGTGACGAATGCCGTCTTTGCTCGATCGTCGGGGTGCATGAAGATCTGATGATACCCCGAGAATGCGTCCATGAAACTAAGCAAGGCGTGGCCACTTGTCGAATCGACTAGCTGATCGATCCTCGGCAAGGGATAGAAATCCTTTGGACAAGCCTTATTTAGGTCCGTGAAGTCGACGCACATCCTCCAGGTACCATTGGCCTTCTGAACCATCACCACATTTGCCAGCCATTCTGGATATTGGCAAGGCTCGATGAAGCCTGCCTCCAGCAATTTTTTGACCTCGGCTGCGATGTCTCGGTTCTTATTAGCGGAGTAATTCCGCTTCTTTTGCTTAATTGGTCGACACGTTGGGTCAACATTAAGCTTATGGGAGATGAGGTCTGGACTTATCCCGGGCATATCAGCTGCCGAGAAAGCAAACACATCTCTGTTGTCCCGAAGGAGCTGAATAAGTTCACAACGGGTGTTCGGATCAAGGTCCATCCCGATTGTTACACATTTCTCAGCGTCTCCTTCGGTCAACTCGACCGTTTCAGTCTGCTGGTCCTTGTCCATTGCTGATGGACTGGACTCTTCACAATCTGGCCTGCTGTCTATGTCAGCAGGCGTCCCAGACTTTTTGTTCTTCGGCTGGCTCTCTGAGTCTTTCGGCTCAGACGAAGAGCTAGCCTTTTCCCTTTCTGGCCCTTTTTCTCTAGGCACAGAACCTTGGGCCGAAGCACTTAGGCCTTTCGGCTTTTTTGTGCTGGGCTCTATTTCTTTTTCTTTCTCCTCATCCTTATCATCGTCATCTGGGCGACTAGTGGATGGCTTGAGGTAGTTGCACCTTCGGGCGTCCTTTTGGCTGCCCTGGATCCTTTCGGGGAAGCCGGCATCTGAGACGTAAATCATCAGCTGATGATAAGTTGAGACGACCCCTTGGATCTCGTGAATTATGGGTCTCCCCAAAATCACGTTGTACACTGAAGGAGCGTCAATGACCAAATATTAAGTCATGACATTCCTGGCTGCCTCATCGCAGCCGATGGTGACAGGAAGTGTCACCTTCCCATCTGGATAAGTTGAAGCCCCATTGAATCCGGATACCGGGTAGGGTACAGGCGTAAGGTGCTTGGGCTTCAGCTTGATTTGATTGTAGGCCTTTCGGAACAGAATGTTTGCTCCGCTGCCACCGTCAACAAGGACCTTACTGACGTCGTGGTTGGCCACCGTGGCGATGATCACCAACGGATCGTCGTGAGGGAACGTTACCCCCCGGCAGTCGGCGGCTGTGAACGTCATGTTCGGCACCGGCGACTGGGGAGACTGAATGTCAGCGTTGTTCACCTGGTGGGTCAAAGCCCTAAGGTGTCGCTTGTGCTCCCTCCGAGAGCATATTCCTCCCGAGATAACATTAATCGGAGAGAATTTTCCCTCTGGATTTTTACTGTTCTTTCGGGGGAAGTCGAGGTCTTGCCGAGAGTCCTTTGCTGACTTCTCGGACTCTTTCTTCTCGCGGTGATCCGCGATTTATTTTTTCAAGTATCCCTTCCGGACCATGTCCTCTATCTGGTCCTTCAGTTGGATACACTCCTCAGTGTTATGTCCCGGAGATTCGTGGAACTCGCACCACTGATTCTTATTTTTTCGCTGATACCACTCTGGGAGTGGTCTCGGCTTTCGGTAACTCTGCTCCTCCTTCGTCACGCTGTAAATTTTGGCGCGTGGAAGAGAGAGCGGAGTGTAGGACTCGTATCTGCCTGTGTATGAAGCAGATTTTTCCTTCTTTGGGTCGCTGGCCGTGGATTGCTCCGAGGCCTTTGACTTTCCCCTTGCCTTATGGCCTTGGCCTTCAGACAAGGGTATTTGTTTTTGCTTCCCTCCCCCGAATTGAGGTTGGGTTTTCGCTTTGTTCCACTCTTCGGCTCGGATGAACTTATCCGAGGCATTCAGAGCTTCCTCCAAGGTCTGCGGGGTATGCATGACCATGAAGTCTAGGAACTTCCCGGGCTGAAGGCCATTCTGCATTGCAAAAACGGCTAGCCCCTGGTCCAGCTGAGAGACACTGGATGACTCGTTGCTGAAACGGGTCAGATAGTCTCGGAGGCTTTCGGTTTCCCCCTGTCGCAGACTCATGAGTTTTGCAGTAGTCTTCTCTCGGCGGTTTGCCGTGGAAAACTTGCTCCTAAATTTGGAGGACAGATCATCCCACCCTGTTATGGAGCCTTGCTTTACTCCCTTTGAGATCCACGCTTGCGCGACCCCCTTGAGAGTGGTTGGGAAATATTTGCACCAAGTCGCTTCGGATCTGGGGCAAAGATGCATATGAGCCTCATACGAGGCAATGTGGTCCTTCGGATCCGAAGTTCCATCATATGTGATGTGCGACGGTATTTTAACCGTGGGCACGTGCTCTTCCAGTATCCACTGCTCGAATGGCGAACTGGCGGGTAGCATAACGGCCTTGCCCTTGTTCCTGGCCGAAGGGACCGCGCTCCGCCCTCTTAGAGAGGTAGGAGTGGTTTTCGTCCCTGGCTGGGAAGTCTGGGCCTCGGCCGCAGGGAACGAGAGGCGACTGTGCACGCTCGGTTCCTTGCCGCCGAGTCGGTCGAGGACGCTTCGGCGAACAGTCTCCGGTTGTTCTCGGTGAGCAGATTCTGGCCGAGAAGCTGAACTGCTGCTCTTATGCGTTCCTGATCGGGAGGTTGAGGATCCTCTGAAGAATTGAGGGTTCTTTTTCCTCTCTCTTTCAGTTTTCCAGGTATCCTCTTCCCACTCTTCCAGTTCCCGGAAGGAAGAAAGTTTCCCACCATCATGGTCTAGCTTCCTCCGCTGATGCCGGGTATGCGGGGGAGTTCGATCACGAGGTGGTGGCATATTTTGTGCCCTCATTGCCTCCATGAGCACTGCCAACGCTCTTGCCACCTCCTCCGAGCTGGGCCCCGTCAAAGGGGTCCTCGGCTGAGTATGGGAATGAGAGCGGACGGTCGATGGTTGGCTTTGGGGCACTGAATGCGTTCTATGATCGGATTGACCCCTGCTAGACCGAGAATGACTCGGCCTATGATGAGAATTATGAATTACGGGAGAAAGGGAATCCTCCCTATATGATCCTCGCCCCGAGCTGGCGCCCTTGGGAGAGTTCCGGTCCGATGAGGGTGATGGTGTAGGGGTTTTAGGCTTTTCGCCTGCTTCTTGACGGAGGCCTTTGCTCTTGCGGTTCTTAGCCATTGCTACTAAGATAATTGCAAGATGATCTTGGTTAGAAATTTGGCTTAAATATTTTTTGAAAGTCTTCCCCACAGACGACGCCAAATTGTTTCGGGTGAAAACAATGGGACCTTGTCGAAGGTCCGATGAAGTGGAGAAGACTGGATTCGGTCCAAGTGATGTTGGGCCGAAGGTTTCCTGCACAGTAAACACACGTAAACTAGCCTCGGGGGTGTTGCCGAGGAAGGCCCCTCCGATGCTAAAGTCAGTACAGTGTGTAGAGAGAGAACACTATGCAAGAGAATTAATTGCTTGAGGCTTTGTTGAATTTATGTACAAATGTCATATTGATGGCTTTTATACCTTTGCATATATGGAGAAGTTGGGCCTTAGCCCAATTGGCTTGCCTTGAGGACTGATCTTTGACTTTAGCGCATTTGGAGAGTTGAACCTTGACCTTGGGCTTTTAATTGGATCATTTAATGACTAGGCCCAATTGGACTAAATTGGACCCAAACAATAGATACTTTACCAACCCAAAACAATTCTCCAATCGTTACTCATATTACCAAATCCCAATAATAATATTGTGAAATTTAAGGGTTGGACGATTGGATCAACGGAATAATATAATTGAGTCAAAGGCTCTACCAACCAAAAACCACATAAAATAATGACTTACGTGCGTGGGACAGTATATGACATCAAATTTATATATAAAGCCTTGATTGTATTACCTTAAAGTCATCAACTTTCTCAACATTAACCAAATATATTATATCCTAGCTTCAATATAACCTAAGAGAATGGGTTCTATGTATGAAATTCCTATGCCTCCCAAAGCAGTTGGTCCAGCCACAATCTTGGCTATGGGCACTGCCAATCCACCAAATGAATTTATCCAGGCTGACTATCCTGAGTACTACTTTCGTAGTACTAATAGCGAACATTTAACCCGTCTCAAGAGCAAGTATCAGCGCATGTGTATGCCCTTTGCTTCTTATTTTCTATACGCTTTGATATTTTTACATGTTTGTAGATTAGATAGTGTGATTATTATGCCGTTTGAACTTATTTATTTATGATTTTTTCAAAGTAGGTCAAGTAGAAGTAGGGGTCGGATCGATGGAGGGATCAATAAGGGAAAACCTATGTTAATCAATTACAACTTTACAAGTAGTATTAATATTGTTCATGCAACATTGAAAAATAGTACAAAGATATTAGAGGACCAATTCAACCAAAAGCTTAAGCTAATGGTTGAGGCTCACCATACCTGGTATACGAATTAATTCCACTTTGAAAGAGGGGCGGATGAGATTCGAACCCGTGACCTTTGTGTCACACTGACTTTGATACCATGTTAGAGGACCAAATCGACCAAAAGCTTAAGCTAATAGTTGAGGTTAGGGAATATGTTTTTATACTGGAATAGTTTATTATATACTCTATAAAAAGAGTTTTTTAGTTTGGATTTTGTGAAAAAAGGCAATCCTAGGTTTTTCCACGACCATTCATCATACCCTAATTAATAGGCAAAAGGCTTGTTTAGTTCACCTTATTTTAGCTTATCTGAACTAATCTAATCTGGTTTTTGATCTGATCTAATCTGGTTATGATCTGATTGTCAGATTTAACTAAACTTTGATCGATCTTAATATACGATAATCTATAAGGAAAAGTTATATTAAGTGGAGTCTTGTTAGATTCATAATAATGCGTATTTTAGTAATATGTAATTTTCATAATTTTTTCATTATGAAATTAAAGATATTTAGCGATAACGAACTGCACATAAAATTATGATCTGATGTGAACTTAATTTTTTTTAATCTGATCTGATATGATCTAAACTTATTTTTTTCTAAAATAAGTAAAAATAAGTTGAATGAAACAAGGCCTAAGTTTAACGTGGTCGAGCTCTTTATTTTGGTATATATTATAGATCCTATATATATAATCCATCTCTCTTATTGATGAGGTCTTGGCCGGCCTAATTGAAAGTTTATGAATGTTAGGCCATACATGCATACATCTAAATTCCCTCACTCCCCCATTTGTAATTTATATCACCTATGTAACCATTTACAGAAATAAAATTTAATCTATCTATCCTTAATTAAATTTAAAAATACAATTATTTACGTCAGACACAACTTTTAATTTTAGCTAGGAAATGAATTATAGGACAGTGTGGTTAATTCAACATACATATCATAATTAAAATAATTTATTAATTAATGGGAAGTACGTAAGACAAAATATAACATGGGATTAAATGAATTTTGTATATTAAAGTGAGTTAAAAACAAAAAAAAATGGTACGGATGATCCTTAGCTTTTATGTTTGACACTACACACGCACAAAAAAAAACTTGTATTATTTTCGTATGGACGTAAATTATAGGAGAAATGATGTTTACGTTTTGGAATAATACAAAGCACATATTAAGGAAACACCATGCTTAGGTATGCTACTACTTCGAATACTCGTATAATATAGAAAGTCAACCACTTGTAAATTAAAGTTATGAAAACCCATTGATTTTCTCTAATTTATTTATTTTTTTTAATGCAAATTTCCTCTAAATTTGTACATGACTAATATATATATCTCGTGTTTATATTTTTTTTTACTTTTTCACAGGCGATAAATCAATGATTAGGAAGCGTTACTTGCACGTAACCGAAGAGATCTTGAAAGAAAACCCACAAATGTGCGATCGCAAGGCCTCTTCCTTATCAGCCCGTCAAGCAATCCTCGCCAGTGAAGTCCCCAAACTCGGCAAAGAAGCAGCCGATAAGGCCATCGCCGAGTGGGGCCAACCCACTTCTAACATCACTCACCTTATCTTCGGCACCAACACTTTCTGCGACACCCCCGCTGCCGACCAATACCTCGCCATGCTCCTCGGCCTTTCGCCTTCCGTTAAGCGCTTTGTTCTCCGCCAGGGTGGCTGCCACTCTGGCGGTACGCTCCTTCGTATAGCCAAGTCCATGGCTGAAAACGAACGCGGAGCTCGTGTCTTGGTCGTATGCGCGGAGTTGAGTACTGTTATATTTTACCATGCTCCCGATGACACTAATCTTTTACCGCACACCTTATTCGCAGATGGTGCTGCGGCTTTGATTGTAGGTGCTGATCCTGATGAGCCTCTAGAAAAACCTATTTTTCGGCTCGTGTCAGCCGACCAGACCACAATTCCCGGTACAGACGGGACTATACAGGCCCGTCTGAGGGAAGAGGGTATGGTCGGGGACATTGCTCCTGACGTACCTAAACTTATTTCCAAAAACATCGAAAGTTTGTTGATTGAATCTTTTGAGAGAATTGGGGTCAAAGATTGGAACTCCTTGTTTTGGATCCCTCACCCTGGAGGTCCAGCTATATTGGACCAGATTGAAACTGAAGTCGACCTTGAGCCGGGGAAACTGAGTACTACTAGGCACGTCTTAAGCGAGTATGGGAACATGTGGGGTGCAACAGTGTTGTTCATATTGGAAGAGATGAGGAATAAGTCGTTGAAGGAGGGCAAATCAACAACCGGAGAAGGGTTGGAATGGGGTGTGCTGTTTGGTTTTGGTCCTGGTCTTACTGTTGAAACCATTGTGCTTCAGAGTGCTTCACTTAATTAATTAATCACTTGGGATTAAATTAATGAAAGTTGGTTATTATATCAAAATATATACTTGAAAGTTGAAATTATAAAGTATAATAGAACTATTTTCTCGTAAAAAAATGGAGGAGGTAGAACTACTATATATACATTATACTGTGGGTGTAAAATATACACCAAAGTAATTTGATTTGTATAATTGTATGTGAATTGTTGTAATAACGGGTATTATTGTGTATACCCCAGTTCATTTTGCTTATAATTTTTTTTTTGATCAATTAGTTTGTACCATTTTTATTGGTTATGTTTCTAGTTTGTTGGTTGTACCATACGTATTGTATTAAAAAGATGTCATATAATTTAAATTATTTCTTCTGAATTTTATAATTGTTTCACTCTATTTCACTTTTCGCACTATTTTCAATGCAAACTCTATGTACAACATCTGTTTCTTATTAGTTGTAACAAAAGAATTCTTTATGTCTCACAATAAATATTTCTTTGTTGCAACTAATAAGAAACTTAGAATTAACATCAAAGTATATAATAATCAATTGAACAATTATTGCAATGGATATATATGTAAGCAACTGATCAAAATTTAGTACTTGAAACCTATAAAAAAATGGTAATAAAAAATGGGAAATGAGGAAGATTCTATACATGAATCTATACTCTTGCTCTAATAAATAATTAGAAATTTTGGTCAGGTTTAATTGCTGTGAATCTGTGATGCAAACATTATTACTCATAAGAAGCCATTTGTGTTAGCAGTTTAATTGATTTGCATAGGGAAATAAAGATTATTTTTTTTTTAAGCAAAAATATTTTCACAAGAGATTATTAGTATAAAAAAAGATGGTAATGAAAAAAAAATTGAATAGGAAGATCTTAATAACTTGTAAAGATAAAGTCGAAGGCTACCAGAGTACCAAGTCAAACTCCCATAAATAAATCTCATAAAACAATTTGTAAGCCTACAATATAAATCAAAAAATTGACAAGTCTTACAAATCACCTTCAAACTCAAACTTGAAAATAAAAAACTAGGGATAGGAAATCATACAAATTCAATCACAATCAAAGCCTTAATTCCGGAGATGCCCCAAATGACATTTTCGTAAATAAACTAACAATTTTTTTCAACTTTATTCAATTGTGTAGTCCACAATAATGAAAAAGTTGTTGATTTATTCATAAAATGCCCCTATGAGAAACAAATTTCGTTTCTCAATATGAGCCCAAATGATGACTATACGAATAATCATTTTTTATTCATGTATCTGACATCTCTTATGAAATTAAGGCCTTGATTGTGACAAAGTTTTACACTGGCTGCCACTAGCTTACCGTAACCCTCCTATCCAGATTTGGGATTCACAGCGGAAAATCTAGTGGCAGAATTGTTTTACAAATGAAAGAAAAATAACAACAAAAAAAAAGTATAGGAAAATAAAGTCTGTGTAAAGTACTAATGTAACCCGATTAGACGACCTACAATATTAATTAGGATTGGCCGTTGAATCAACGGAATGATATTTAGTTGAGCCAAAGACTACCAACACAAAACTATGGGGTTATTATAGGTACATACCCGATTAGACGACCTAGCAATCATACCGTGTTTTGCTACGTAATTGTCCAATAATTGACTCATACAAATTAAATATACATGCAAAATCTTTTCTAACACAAAAATAAAAATAAAAAAAACCAAGTAATATAGTTATTATACTGATATTTTAACTTGTAAGCCTACCATAATATATACTAAACAATTAAATAAGAAAATGTCAAGTATTACAATTGACCTTGAAAATCAAACTTGAGATTAAAATATTAGAGTCAAGAAATCATCAAACCAAAATCAAACAAAGAAAACTCACAAAACAAGCTAACTCTAGTAAAAGTCCATGCATACATAAAATTATCATACTTTGAAATATTATAGGAGTTAATTAATCGATTGGATAAGCAAAATAATAATATTTAATTGCTCAAGTCAAATTCTAGCAAGGCAGCAAAACTACGCACGAACATAGAATAAATTGAGGTGAATTGCATTAATGCATGCAAGTGACAATATTTGACGTTAAAAATAATTTATATATATTTATCATATACCGTACAATAAATTTATACTCCGTACTATATAAAGGCTTGATTGTCTTGCCATAATTTCATCATACATTAGCTATTTACTTGTTTAGCTTTCATAAATCTTAGCTTCAATATAATCTAAGAATTCCTTTGCTTTTTTTCAAAAAAAAAAAAAAAAAAAAAAAAAAGAAGAATTCCTTTGCTTTCATTTATAAATTATCCTAGCTAAGCTAGCTTCAATATAATTAACCTTACCTAAGAAAATGGGTTCTATTTATGAGATTCCAATGCCTCAAAAATCAAAGGGTCCGGCTACAATCCTTGCTATTGGAATTGCCAATCCACCTAATGAATTTAGCCAAGAAGATTATCCCGATTACTATTTCGGTATTACAAATAGCCAACATTTAACCCATCTCAAGGCCAAGTTTAAGCGCATGTGTATGTCTTATAGTTTGCTTTTTTCTTGTATTTAATTTTTTATACTCTTTTTATTTGTTTATATTGTTTTATAGATAGCACAGATAATTTAATTGAATATAACCAAGCTTAATGAAATTGGAGGATAATTTACCTTATGACTTTCGAGGTCACAAGTTCTAACCCCATCAACTATGCAGTAAGAAATCTAAGAAATTTCCTTAGGAGTAGAGAGATTAAGGATATAATACCTCCGTTACAAATATTAAATCGTTGCAAATAATATGTAATGGAGGTAGTATAATATTAGGTATTTTAGAAAAATTGAAGAAGTACGTAGATCCAACATGACTATTTATTTTATAATTAATGTATATATTATTATATTAATTAAAGAGGATATATATACAGTAAAAAATATACTTCCTCCGTTTCTATTTAGTTGACACGTTTGATTTAGGTACATATATTAGGGAAAGGAGAGAGAGTGAGAGAGAGTGAAAAAGCAAGTGGGGTAGCTTGTAAATGCAAGGTAAAAAAATTTACCTAAAAAGAAACGTGTCAACTAAAAAAACTTTCGAAAATGAATACGTGTCAACTAAAAAGAAACGGAGGTAGTATAATAGTGCGGGAATAATGGAAAAAACGAACGTTGTGAATAAAAGTTACATATATATAGTTTTTGCATATACGTGACTTAGAGTAACTTCAATGCTAAACTAATTGTCATTTTAGCTAATTTGAGCTCCAATGACTAGCTATGAGGTTACTAATAAATTTTAGACCCCACCTCTTTAATTATTTTTTTTATTTAGTCAAGTTTTTTTCCTTTGCTAATTTGCTTGGCCCAACTAATTGGATTTTCTAACTCTAGTATTCAAGCTAATAGCGGTTGATTAATTGCATTTTCTAACTCCACTATATGGTAAACAAGTCCTAAGCTACAATTATTGGAGTTGCTCTAATAATAATAATAAATTAAAATTGTACTTTGTTTAGCAGCTCTTGATTCTTTCCTATTTTTACAAAATCACTAGATTATGATGGACACTTCTCACTTACTTACATGCCTATAATTTCTTATTTCAGGCGAAAAATCAATGATTAAGAAACGTCACTTGCACGTAACCGAAGAAACCTTCAAAGAAAACCCTCAAATGTGCGATCGCAATGCACCATCCCTAACAGCCCGTCAAGCTATACTCGCAACCCAAGTACCCGAACTCGGCAAACAAGCGGCGGAGAAGGCCATCAAAGAATGGGGGCAACCCAAGTCCAACATCACCCACGTTATCTTCGCCACCAACTCTTTCGTCGACACACCCGCCGCTGACCAATACCTCGTCATGCTTCTCGGCCTTTCGCCTTCTGTGAAGCGCTTTGTTCTCCGCCAAGTTGGCTGTCACGCAGGAGGTACACTCCTGCGTGTAGCCAAGGCCATGGCAGAAAACGAACACGGAGCTCGTGTGTTGGTTGTTTGTTCAGAGATGAGTTCCACTATCTGTTTCCAAGCTCCTGATGAGACTAATCTTTTACCTCACGCCTTATTTGCTGACGGGGCAGCAGCAATGATCATAGGTGCTGATATTGTTGAGCATCTAGAGCAACCAATTTATCGGATTGTGTCTGCTGAGCAGACTACAATCCCGAACTCTGAGGGATCTATACAGGCTCGCCTAAGGGAAGCAGGGTTAGTTGGTGAAATACGTCCGGATGTACCTATACTTATAGGAAAAAACGTCGAAAGTTTATTGATTGAATCTTTTAAAAGAATTGGAGTCAAAGATTGGAACTCCTTATTTTGGATCCCTCACCCTGGAGGTCCAGCTATATTAGACCAGATTGAAACTGAACTCGAACTTGAGCCGAGCAAACTGAGTACTACTAGGCACGTCTTGAGTGAGTATGGGAACATGTGGGGTGCGACGGTGATATTCATATTGGATGAGATGAGGAGGAAGTCGTCGAAGGAGGGCAAATCGACAACCGGAGAAGGATTGGATTGGGGTGTGCTGTTTGGTTTTGGTCCTGGCCTTACTGTTGAAACCATTGTTCTTCAAAGTGTACCACTAATTATTTAATTAATTAAATAATTAGTTGGGATTAAATTGGAGAACGAGGTTTTGAAAAAATATTACATCCCTGTTACTTATCAGTCGAATCAATTAGAGACTAATAAAAAGTTTTCAATAACTTGTAATAATAATGGATGTAACTCATAAAATTATGCTAGTGTGTGTCGGTATTTATTTAATTTTTTGTATTATTAATTTTAATTTTACAAGTATATTTTGTTTATTTTGTCTTATCATTTTAAAATAAACATTTTTTCCATTTGAAATTAATATTATATTCACAAGTACTAATTAAGTAGCTTTTGAAATTCTTTCCAATATACAAGAAAATACGTAGTCATCAACTAGAGTTTTATTTGATTTATCTATCTCAATAACATACTGATAGATTATGTAAATCATCTATCTATGTATAGATAAATAGATGATTTACATAATTTATTTAAATTAAGTATACCAAACTTATAAGTTGTATTCTATGGTTTATATATCATAATTTCTCTCCTTTGGATATATTAACAAGTTAACAACCACTACCACTTCTTGGGAAGGGTAATGCAATTAAGGCTTTATAAACTAGCTAGATTAAAATATACATTGCATGATTTGCATCATGTTTCCAAAAGAACAATACAAATTGAATTAATTAAACAAACAAATCTCCCATCTTCATTCCACTTAGAATTATACTATTTAAAGTAAAATAACAGCATACAAATGTAAACACGAATATCGATCGTGTAAGTTTGGAAAAAAAAAAATTGCGAAACATGATAAAAAGAACACACAAGTGCAAACTTAATGTACGTAACCAAAAACTTGTTACACACCCATAAAACTTTATCAAAGAACAATCACACACAACGTAGATACCATCATCAACTCAAAATATTGTTATGCAGGAAAAACCTCGATAACAGACCTCGACCCTAAAATTGGTAAAATGACGTAGTCACAAAAACCAGCCTTATCAAAGAGAATTTTCCATTGTTGTTCAGTTCTTTCTTTTCCACCAAAGAGATACGACATTTGAATATCCGCAAGAAATTGAGATTTCGTGTGATTTTCATCGTCAGTTGGGATTCCGACGACCATATCTATGGTCAACAACTTTCCTCCTTTCTCTCTACTTGGAATTGCTTCTTTACACTTTTCAAGTATTTTTATGCAATTTTCATCGCTCCAATTATGCAATATCCACTGCAAAATTAAATTTTATGGGAACTACTTAGTCATTATATTTGTATGTATGACCCCTTTTTATTAACTAGGGTTGCTAATGCACACAATAAGAGCGCTACATCTAGCAATATTTGCTTTTGGTTTGGCTTTACGTCACAACTTTATTTGTTAGTAGCACTAGTGAAGGAAAATATGTAAACAAATAATTTTAGGGTTATAAATAATGTCCGCGCACTATTATTTAATTTAGTCTTAAAAAAGAGTTAATTAACATTAATGGGGGTATTTATGTAAATAAACATTTTAGAGATTATAATTGTCCAAACTATTCATGAGAGTAATTTTACCCTTTTTAAAACGTAGGGATGAATGAGTTGAATCCACAACGTCTCGGTTGAAAAAAATTATCATGCAAACTATGCAAATTCATTATGCATGCTATCACACCAACATGTATGATGTATCTAAATATGAAATTGGATTGGATTACATCCATACAATATACCCCCTCCGTAACTTTTTACTCGCAACAATTACTATTTTTAGCCGTAACACATTACTTGCAACAAACTTATTTCTTTTCTTTTATGGTAAATTTTTTTGTGTGATTTTACAATATTACCCTTACTTTTTTTTCCTAAATATCCTAATTAAACTACTGATTATAACTTAATAATTTAAACCCTAACATTAACTAACTTAATTATTTCCCCAAAATCATTACTCTCCCATCTAAATTCATTCTCATCTTTTGTAAAAAACAAAAGTTCTTTCTCATCTTGATTGGGAACCACCACAATCTCCATTCTTTGTTCATCACCCAAAAATTCACCTCATTACACCACCGTCGCCGGAAGTTGCTGCCGATGTCCCTTTTGTTGCGGCCGCCTCCGTTTTCTCTCTCTTCCTCTTCTTGTTGTTTTGTCATTGCGGTGAAGCACGTATTTGAAGGTTTTATGGTTAAATTTAACCATGAAAACTCTAGATCTGGAGTTTTAATGGTTAAATTTGACCAATTAAAGCTTTAATTGATGATAGAGAGTTGTGGGTTTCGGATTTTGGGATTGGGGGTTCGTGGGTTGTGGGTTGTGGATTTTGGGATTGGGGGTTCGTAGGATTCGAGTTCGTGGGTTGTGGATTTTGGGATTGGGGGTTCGTGGGTTGTGGGTTTCGGGGTTGTGGACTTGTGGGTGGTAGATTTGGGTTCGTGGGTTGTGGGTTTCGGGGTTGTGGGTGGTGGTTCTGGGTTCTTTGGTTGTTTGGTTGGTGGTTCGAATTTTCTGGGTTAGTGGGTTGGTGGTTCGAATTTTCTGGGTTCTTGGGTTGATTTGGTTGGTGGTTTGAATTTTCTAGGTTCGTGGGTTGGTGGTTCGAATTTTCGGGGTTGTAGGTGGTGGTTTTGGGGTTGTGGATGGTGGTTCTGGGTTCGTGGGTTACATTGTGGGTTTTGGGGTTGTGGATGGTGGTTCTGGGTTCGTGGGTTACATTGTGGGTTTTGGGGTTGTGGATGGTGGTTCTGGGTTCGTGGGTTACATTGTGGGTTTCGGGGTTGTAGGTGGGCGAAATCGGGGGTGGTGCTAGGTGGTGGTGGTTGCATGGTGCTAGGTGGTGGTGGTATGGTGCAAGGCGATGGTGGTGCTGGTGATAGGTGGTTGAAATTGATGTTTTTTTTTTTTTTTTTTTTTTTTTTTTTTTTTTTTTTTTTTTTTTAATTTGGGTTGGATTAATATTAAACACATGCCCTTATTTTTTTTGTTAATTACACTTACCATCTTTTGCCTAGGAGTCCGCAAACTACTAGTTTGTTGCGAGTAAAACGTTACGGAGGGAGTAAATAACTTTTATATTGTGCTAATAAGGAAGAAGGACGTGGACTGTAACCAAACCTTAGCCTTGTTCACGGTTTTTTTAATCTAGTATTTGCTGACCAGCCACTTGAAAGTACGGGTAGATAATTAAGGAGCATGTATTTGTAGTGGGCAGATTATTATATCCATTATATTTTAGATCGATTTAAACAAGTAGTTAACCCCCTTTGTTACGGATTACACATTTTCACACACACTACTAATCACTTGAAACGACAAAGTTACAATAACTAGGTGGACATTCCACGTAATATCACTTACTCCCTTCGTGTTTTTTTAAGTGTTACACTTTTTATTTCCGGTCGTGTTTTTTTTAAGTGTTACAGTTCCTTTTTTGGAAAAAAGCTACATTAAAATATTATACCTCTATCCTCTCATGGTCCCCATCCAAACCCACAAATACCTTTTTTTATTATATCTTTCCTCTCACATTCATTATTTTTCAATAAACTATTAACCCCACTATCTTTCTTTTACAATTTTTTAATACTCCAACTAACACATTTACTTTTTTTTTTTTTTTTTTTTTTTTTTTAAGTCAATTAAATTGCCTAAAACTATGTGCCGTCAAATTATAACACTTAAAAAAACACGGGAGGGAGTAATAAATTAACAAAAAAGCGCATTTAAAACGACAAAGTCAAATATACGAGTAGGTGGACATGTGGGACTGTCATCCATGTAAATATCACTTTATACGACAAAGCTATATAATATGTTAATAATTTACTTATAATATACAGGATGGTTTTTGTTGGGTTAGTGATTCAAACGTGTTAGTGCCAAGTTTTAAGGAGCGTGTGTGAGTAGCGTTTGGTGGTTTGTTCGAGTCAAAAAAGCATGCTAACATTAGTTGAGTTAATAATGTATCTTAGTGGATCCGTGTTTACTTACTAATAATTCTTATTTAGTTGAAATTATTTTTACTTATTTTAAAAAAATATAAGTTCAGATCAGATCAGATCAGATTAGATTAGAAAAAATAAGCTCATATCAGATCATTGTTTTATGCGAAATCGCTAAATATCTTTAATTTCATAATATAAAAAAAGTTATGGAAACTACATATTAATAAAACACACATTATTACGAATCTAATAAGCTCCCATTTGATGTATTTTTTCTTTACAGATTAACGTCTATTTAAGGTCAAAGTTTGGTCAAATCAGACAATAAGATCATATCAGACTACATCAAATAAGATTAGATCAGACCAAACTAGATCAGATTAGTTCGGATAAGCAAAAATAAGGTGAACTAAGCCTGGCTAAGTCGGTTCATTTTTTCTAAATTATAATTATTAGTTATGATGTATGTGTGTGTTATATATTAATAAAATATATATTATTACAAATTTAACAAGATCTCGCTTGAAATTTTTTTTATCTATAGATTATCGTAAACAAAAGGTTAAAGTTTGGTTAAATTAGATTATTTGATAATAAAAAAAAAATAGAGGGAGTATAATAAGAGACTTTATTTCACCTTGAGTAAGACGACATTAGCTTGAGGTATAGCTTTGAACATGTCACCAGCAACATAACTCAAGTTCCTTGTTTCATTTGGCTGCTCTAAATTGTTGACAACATGTGGTTGATCAAACAAGATACAATTCATCTCAGGAAAAGCCTCAGCAATGGCCTTAACCATAGTACCGGTACCACCACCAACATCAACGATGGATTCAATGCCATGGACTAGGCGTTTGAACTCATCATTAACCAGCAACAAGCTCGAAATCAATCGAGAGTCACTAGCCATGGCTAGGTTAAACAAGTCATTGAGTTTGGCATCACTAGGCATGCCTTTGTACAAATGCATGCCTTGAGCCACGTGAAAAGAAGACTCACAAGATTGGTCATGACTTTGAAACCAACTAGCAAAATTATGAGATGGTTCAGTTAATTGTGGAGTTATCCCTATTAGGGCTAAGGGTGCATGAGTAAGAGGGTGATCTTTTAAAAGGAGTTCGGAGTTTAGGGTAAGGTCGTATACTTGTTCTCCAGTAGTCGATAAAATTTGGGAAGTGTAGAAATTGTTGTGAACAAGAAGACGCATCATTTGATGCAAGGACGAAGCCTTGTTAAGGGGGATCGAAAGGGAGGTAGTTAAGTCATCAAGAGTCATGGGTTTGCCATGTTTTTTGATGGCATCTGAGATGCCTAGTTGAATGGCACACTTTAGAGCCATGGAATTTAGGAACGATAAACTATGGTTCCATATAAAACCAACTGCATCTAATAGCTCTTTTGTTTGTTTGTTGGAACAATTGTTTGGTTCCATTTTTTGTAAAATATGTTTGCTTAATTTACACAGTTCTACTACAAATTGGTATGAGAGAATGAGGTATATATAGGCGGAAAAATGAATGCTAGAAGCTCGGTCTTTTGAGAATAGATCAATAGAGTATTAAAAAATATAAACCCTCCCTATCTTTTTTTCCCCCCTAGGAATCTACCCTTTTTTGTTTAACTCACTTTAATTTATTTATTTTTGGACATAAAAGTCATACGACATTTACAAAGAAATTTGAATCTAACAAATACGAGTACACGATAACTGAATAAAACAAAAATGTCTTGTCAGCAAAGTAACTAAAGATCATATCCTTTTTGCAAATCATATATTCTTCGTACAGTATTTCATATCGTTGTGATTTATAGCCTTCTTCTTCGGTGAAGGGGTCTATCGAACGAGTGTAGGTGTGAAGAAAGTTTTCGATTCGTGAGATTATATTCGTAAGATTAAACACTAATATAGTAAATTATTTTTTATTTTTTTAAAAAAAAAAGTTAAGCCTATCTCCTTACCTTCTTATCCCTTTTTCCAACACTGAATACACTTTTTGCACACTAATTTTTTTGGAAAATTTGTCTAAAAAGTACAATTAACTTTGAACATATAAGTTCGTTCTTCACAAAAAAGTGAATATTTAAGTACCTTTCTAACAAATTTATTCACCATTTTTTAAAACATTTTTGCAATCACTCGCCTTATTCACTCTATATTTTATTAAATTGCATATACTAAGTATACGGTAACTGATTTCAGTGAAATATAAAGGAGTGAAGGCTAAGGAGTATTCCATAATCAAATAATAAATGTATTAATAACCTTTATAATGAATGTACAACTCCTTCCTTCGATCTTTATATAGTTGACACTTTTTTTTTTTAATCATGTTTTCTAATATAAGAACAAATTCAATGATTATGATCTCTAATTATCAACAAGTAAAATTTATAAACAAATTGATGTTATATAAATTGTCGAAATTATTTAAACAAGATCACAGATGACTAAATTTATTAATCACAAAAGCTAGTCACGTGAAGTTTTGTATATAGAGTCGAAATGAAGGAAATATATATTATGAATCGAAAAAAATTGGGTGAGTCGGACTTACGGTAAGTACAATATATTAATCTAATATTTGACATTAAAAAATCTAATACATGAGAAATCTAATATATGACATTAATAATCTAATAATCTAATGTTAGTTATTAAATTATTAATGTCAAATATAAAATTATATTATTAATGGTAGATATATTGGACTCCTGGTGAGTCCGGTTTCTCGCAAAATGTTTTCTCAAATTGGATGAAGTACAACATTGAATAAAATACATGATAATGAGATAAAAGTTAAAAGGTAATTTAAATGAATTGCATTCTAAACATATAACATAAAATGTCAAGTAAGTCAAAACTACTAGAAAGCCAACAATCCCTTATGCTCACCAAACTCTTTGCATTTAATTATTATTTTTTCATGATCTAAAATTCTGAATGATCCTAAGTAGATCCGGAAACCTAAGTACTTATTAGTAGAAGCTAAGGGAGAAAAAATAAAAAATATCTAAAAACAATTGACATTTAAAAAAAAAAAAAAAGAAAGAAAGAAAGAAAGAAAAAGAACACACAAAATTGACATGGCTCAAGTACTTCTAATTTATGATAGGTTAATTAGGATTGATAAACCACTAACTTACATGTTGAAATCTAGTACTTCTACTTTATGATAGGTTAACTAGGAGTAGTTAACCACTAACTTGTAATTTACAATTTGAAATCTAATACTTCGACTCTATGATAGGTTAATTAGGATTGATTAACCACTAACTTACAAGTTCAAACACATTTTACAATTTTAATATGAGGCTCACTAGAATTATATAGGGACTTGGTCTTGTTAATAAGCCAAGCTTGTCAACAATACTACTATCACTATCTCTATTTTTATATGCACCATGAACCCACTTTATGTGAGAGTTTTATGAGTCATATGGTGCAAACAAAAATAAAAGGATAGAGAGAGTATTAATTTCACTATACATACGATAGAGCAAATCAAATATGTTATTTTCAATTGAGACCTGATTAAACCATTACTTAATTGTAATTGATTGATTCTCTATACATCACTTGTCAATGATGTTTCTTTCACAAACAAGGTAAATACATATTTTAGCCGCAACATGTTTTAGACCAATGTATTTAACTTGTATGTGGATGAAGTAATGAAATAAGTGATGAGCTACACGAAATTCCAACAAGTGTAGCACAACTCCGTTGAACAATACTAATATACGAAGTACTATATTGTGTATTTATGTGTATGTTGAATCAGCAATAATTATTAATTAATTAATTACTGTTGATTACTAATGCAGTAATACAATAGTACAAGCACTTCAGCTGTTGACAAACATATACCAGAAAACACGTTTAGCACTATTGTGGATTAGTTTCACCAATAAAGCAAAAGTGAGAGATTTAATTAAAAAAAAAAAAAAAAAACGAAACAACCCATTTTGTACTTTTGTGTACAGCCACATGGCTGCTTGTACAATAACAAGTTATAACCAATTAAGTAACCCTGTAAATCTGTAATATTGATTGAGTAACCTCTATATATAACACTGACGAAGTAACCCATATAATATTGACTGAGTAATTCCTATAATATTGATGAAATAACCTCTCTGTAATATTGATTGAGTAACTCCTATATAACATTAACGAAGTAACTTCCATGACGGTTGGCCACACGGTGTGACCAGGCTATTTAAGAATTTGTGGAAACAAAAAATAGATTAAGATGTTTTTTAAAAAATTACTTAACTACTTCACGGCTTCACACAATAAGATAGAGTCATCCTTCAGTGAAAGTCAGAGCATTTAACTTTACTTTAGGATTTTCTCTCTCTCTAAGTTTTTTCCTTGGGATGGTTTTTTTTTGTTCCCTCTAGGGTTTCCCCTTGAGACTTGGGAGGGTTTTTCTAGCCTTCATTGCTAGTTTTTTTTTTTTTGGGAAGGTTTTCCTTCACTCTTCTCTACTTTCTTCTCTTTCTCTTCCATCTCTTTTCTTCTGATCTCAATTGTAAATTTTTATGAGGCTTCCACTAGTGTTTTCATCGGTGGTAAGCCCCAAACAACATTTTAATTGCTTTCAATAAATGGGTCCCATCTTTATGATGGTGCTTATTCAATTAAGCTTATTTCTTTTGTTTGTTCGTGTTCTAAAGATGAAAATTTAGGCTTTCATTGTCTCCGAGAGAATCTAGAAGGCCATATGAGTTTTTTCACCCAAACAACTACTCATCCGTGAATCTCAAGCCGAATTAGTGCTAACTTACAAATTGTATTGCTTCGGATGATGATTTTTATTAACGTGGCCATTGATCGAATCTGCGATGTGAGCGGTTCTAGCTAGAGTGATTTGTACTTGTGTTGGAAATTTAGATATCCTAGGAATTGTTTGTAACCGCCCCACTATCACTACTAGAAATAGGCTAAATTCTGACGGAAAAATTCCGTCAGAAACACCCTGAAATCCGTCGGAAGAGGTTGTCAGAAAAGCAGTTGTAGGAAAAATGAACTTTTCCGACGAAAATTCCATTGGAAACACTATTCCGACGGAATTTTTCGCCGGAAAAATATTTTCAGGTACTGCAACAATCCGTCGGAAAATTCCGACGGAATTTCCGTCGGAAATTGCTTTTCTGAAATTTATAAAAAATACGCCGCGCCACCATCGGCACGGCGTATCACCACCTCCAACCACCAAAAACCCCAACATTAGACACCGCCACAACCACCAACCCCTAACTCGTATCAGCAGTCCAGAACCACCCCACCACCCACAACCACCATATCTACCACCCTACCCACATGAAAGGAATGGTGTCCTTCGAACAAGTGTATTATTCTGATAGCGGGTTCAGAATTATTAGAAAGCTAATATATTCAGTAAGGTCAAGTGATCGGAATGCCTGGGTGGAGGCCGCTTCCGATCAGTAATATTAATATAATTAATATTACAGCTTAATCTTGACTGAACCCTTCGCGTTACACCCAAGCAAAATATACGAACCGACTCGACGAATTGATTCGGAAGAAATTAATTCATCGCCCGAGTGTTAAATATTTAGACGTCGGAAATTCGAGCTTAGAGCGTCGAAACCGAGCGTCGGAAGTCGAGTCAAAAAATAATAAAAAGGCGAGACGACAAATTAGTAATAAATCAATAATGACCAAAATACCCCTAGCATCGGAATCCCGAGTGCTTGGGGATTAGCCGAGCTAGCAGCCCGCACCATGTGCGAGACATGCTAGCAAGGCGTGGCTAGCAGCCCGCACCATGTGCGAGGCATGCTAGCACAGCACGGCCAGCAGCCCGCAAGCAGTGCGTGGCGTGCTGGGGTGCGCTGTTGCTAGCAGCCCACACATGTGCGTGGCTAGCTAGCAGCGCCCTCGGCATCAGCATCCCGCACTGATGTGCGTGGGCGTGCTGGGCCGAGCTGGCAGCAGCTAGTAGCCCGCATGGTGCGAGGCTAGTTGGGCCGTGGGCCTAGGTCGGGTAGAAAGGGGAAGCTAGTAAGTATGCTTGCTTTTTGGTGTGGACAAGTGTCACAAGGAGAGGAAGGAGTGGGGAGCAAGTATGGTCCCCTCCTCTCCAAGTGATCCATACTCCTCTTTACATATGACTAAGACACTTGTTGATTTATTACTTGCTTATATATTTAATTTAATTTAGCTTTAAATTAATTTGTGGAATTTCATGAATCTCACATTGATGGGATAGAAATTCCCACTCATACTTTCCTCTATAAATACCAACCTTGGGATTTAGAGTAAAGTGCTTGAGTGGGAGTTAGAAAGAGCATTCCATATTTTGGAAAAACTCTTAAACTCCATTAACACTTGGGTTTTGGTCGGACCTTGCTAACTCCAAGGTAGCGGACCTAAAAAGTCGTGTTCGTCCTTTGTGGGTGGATACCGTTGGAGGCACGGAATTTGCGGTGCTCAAGGCTTTCAAGTAAGAGCCCGTTTTGAGAGGGCGAAGCTTGCTTCAAGGGTATGATTCGTTCTTCCTTTTCTTGTGTTTATTTATTTATGCTTTATGGTTTTATTAATTACGAGTGGTTCCTTGGGTCGGGGTTGTTTCCGCGGTGAGTCGGACTCACCAAACCCCTACAGCGGTATCGGAGCCCTGCTCGTTTATTTTTATAATCATGTTTTTCAAGGTTTATTTTGGCTTATTTTTCTAGTTTAAGTTGCTAATTAGATTAGTAGCTCGGTTTTATTTATTTTAATCCCGTTTTTAATGTCAAATTTAGCCCAGAACCCAGATTTTCGCCCAAAAATAGTGAGTTTTGGGTGGAAAAGGTGTTCTAGAAGGTTTTTACCCCTTTGGCCTGTGATTTTAGCCAAATTCTGACCAGAAATGCCTTTTTCGAGGGATTTTTCGTTTTTGACGAAAATTTTTAAGTCTTTTCTAACCTTGAAATTAATGGCATAACTTGTTAATTATGTGGTTGATTATTTGCATTATTTTCTGCATTTTTAAGTCCCCTTAAAGCACACTTACTTGGTAGTATTGCTTAAAGGTTGATTTATTTTCACATAATTGCAAACTAATTGCTTTTTAGTGTGAAAATTTTTGTTTTGAGGCTTCCTAAGTGTTAAAGATTCAATCTTTATTTGTGATAAGTGATTGAAACTTTAAAAACCACTAAACTCCATGTTATTTTGTGTTAAACTTTGTTGTTTTAATCATTTTGAGTTGATTGGAAACATAAAGTTTCAATTTTTGTGATAGAAATTTGGTTATCTTCATGTTGGAAGATATAATTTTCAAGGATTCACAAAATTTAGATGTTGGAATTTTCATTTGAACATTAATGTTCATATTTTTCCAACTTCCCCTTACTTTGTCAAATTCTCAAGTTTAATTTAAATTGATTAAATTAAAAGTGAGATATTGCCTCAACTTTGTTATTGCACCAAGCTAAATCAATTTAATTAAGAATGGTTCTTGGAATTATTTTGGTTATTTTGCACTTTGAAATTTTATTAAGTTGGACTTGTTTAAAATTTTTTCATTTTTGCTCATTAAGTTAGTTCTAAAATTAACACTAGTAGAAAAATGCTCATTTGCGTCACTCCTAGAAACAAATGACGCAAATAATACATTTTAGCTTCACTATAAGTAATTTGCGTTGCACATTAACTACAAAGCGAAACAAAAGTCTGATATATTTCAGCTTACTCATATTTGCGTCGCTTTCATAAATAAAAACGACGCAAAAGATAATGTTATTTGCGTTGCTCATTTATTGACAGGTGACGCAAATAGCTTTGTGAGTAAATTGCGTCACTTCTTTCTTTATTGAGTGACGCAAATGACTATTACAATTACAATCCACTCAACACTTCCTCACATTCAATATAAAACACTCTTGTTGCCATGTCGCCGTTCGAACTTCAAAACCCTAGCAGCTTCAACTGAAAAATCCCCTAAAATTCAACATCAAAACCTCAAGAAATTCGTCTAACTAGCCGAATCTCCAGCGCTGCCTTGTTGTCGTTCGTACTGCAAAACCCTAGCGAATTCAACAGCAAAACCCTGATAAATTCGACCCCAAACCAACAAATTTGACCCCAAAATCAATAAATTCAACCAGTAATTGAAAACCCCGGAATATCCAAGCCAAAACCCCCCATTTTCAAGCAAATCCGAGGCAAAACACCCTATTTTTGAGCAAAAATCGACCAAAACCCCCACGAAATTCGAACTATTAAAACCGCTGATAGTCGAGATGAAATACTCTACATCGAGGCTAGCAAGGGATTGCTGCTTGTTGGTGTTGCTGTTGATGGTTAGCAGGGGAAGCAGTGGAGATGGTTGACAGTAATAAGAGGTGCGAAATTATCGTTTTAGGTAATAAGAAGTGCGAAATGATTTAATTTCGATTGATTTAAACTATTTTATTAAATTATCGTTTTATTCTATTGATTTATATGATGTTTTTAATTTTACTGTAATTAGAGTTGCGAAATGATTTTAATTTTATAAGGAATTTAACTTAGTAGCTAGATGATGTAGGGTCAAAATTTAATTTCATGAGTGTGTATTGATTTTGGCGTGAAATTAAAAAATTAATTTGGTGTTATAGTTGAATTTCTGTTTTGTTTGTTATATGTTGATTGGAATTTTGTCAGATTATTGATTTAGTGTAATAATAGATTCTTATTACAAAATTAGTAGATTTTCCATTATAAAAATAAAGTATTTGTTTCTATATCAGATTACTTCTAGAGTATTGCTTAATTATATTGACTTTTTCTTGTTTGATCGAGTGTTTGTATCTAGATATAAAGTTAGATTAGTGAATTACTTGGTGCAGGTATGCAGCAGGTGCTTGTGGTTGATGGTGAGTGCGGTGGTCTGGCCTAGTGTAGTGGGCAATTTGTTGCAGATAGCTATTTTGTTGTTGAGTTGTTTGTGAATTGCAGGGGATAATGTCAAGGTTTCTCTCTCTTATATTTAGATTAACTCTAATCTTATTGTTATTCAGTGAATTTTCTGGTTTAGTTGTTCTATAATTTGAGGTAATAATTAATTTCTTACTTGATTTCTCTCATATTAAAGGTAATTTAACATTACAATTGAAGGTTTTAAAAAAAAAAATTACAATTGAAGCGGCATAATCTAGTTCTTCATTACCGAATAAGAATTTTAAGAGAAGTATTCAAAATAATGACACAATGTTATTCCTTTGTTTTGTGTATGATATTGTTTACCTCAAATTGAAATGATGATGTTAATTACTACTTACTGATAAAGTGATTATGAGTTGATGGCATTCTGTTTTTGCATTTCGTATTTTAAGAGAATAATAGCACTGCAATTTTCATTTTGTTTTGTGTACGAGAAGACAGGTACAATGAACATGTTTAAGCTAGACATATAAACTTTGGTAAAACAGGACTAAACTTATTAGGGCCGTGATTAATAGCAATTGTAGCTTAAATTGGTCCATAGTTTTTGTGTATGTTATTAATCAAATAATGAAATAATCACCCAACCTTCCAGCAGTATATTAATTCTGTAGAGTTCTAGCTGAAATCTAATCTTTAGTAGTCCTCATCACCAAGTGTTCGAATCGAAGGTATCATGATCTTACTCTAGAGTCAATGAATGATGCTAACATTGTAAAGAATGCAAAATTCGAATAATACGTTACTAGAATTCCCATTAGTTACTGTAATAGTTGCAATTGCAGAATTTACAGGAAGAATTATTGAAGAAGATTGATTTTGATTTAATATATGTATGATCCTTAAATCATGGATATAAATTTATCAAAACTGAATATAATGGGTTGTTTTTCTCTTTAAAATTGTGAATTAAGTTCTAATCCGAGATGTTTTTCTCTTTAAAATGTGGTGAGAATGATATGATTAGTATTTTTATTTTTCATGCTTAGGTTTTATCTTGTTTGAAATGAGTTGAATGAGTCTATTGACTTTGTGGCTATGATGCGAGCGTGTAGTGTTATCAAAAATTGGGAGGAAGTGAGATGTGGCTACTATGTCGTGTGTTTGAAACAGTTTAACATCACCGTAGTAATGAGGATCTTGTTAGTATGTGTTGTCAGATCTTTCACTACTAATTCATCAATTTAGTTTAAATTGGCTACACTCTTGAATTGATTAGTTTTTGTTTTTGTGTTGTGTTAACAGGATTTTTCAAGAACAATACCTTATAATGGGGAGGAGATAAATGAGGTTCGATATATTTAGTCAAACTATTTCATGATCAACGTTGAAATTTAGATTTAAACTTAGCTAAATCCATTTGTTTGTTAGACTTTTTTTTTTGTTTTAGTTCTTAGGCTTGAAATGAATGTATTTGGGGTACCAACATTTTGGGTTGGTCTTTGTTCTTGTGTTGGTTGATGATATCAATAATTTTGAGTTGTAAAATTTTGAGACTCTGCCGAAATTTACATTTGCATTCAATAATATTGCATTTTAATTTCAATTATTAGCGTTAGCATATTACTTTATACCACTAGCAAGGAAAACAGGTACTACAAACATATACAAGCAATTATTATAATTAAAAAAAAATTCACCTCATTTGTGTCACTCATTAAACAAACAAGTGACACAAATAAAGCAATTTTGTATTGCCTAGTTTGTCATTTGCGTCACTCCTATATAAACAAGTGACGCAAATAACAAACAAGAAGTTGATCAGGCCAGCTATTTGCGTCACTCCTTTATAAAAGAGCGATGCAAATAAGAGTCATTTGCGTCACTCCTTTATAAAGGAGCGACGCAAATGAATCTTATTTGCGTCGCGCCTAGGAGCGACGCAAATGACTTTTAAATCATTTGTGTCGCGAGCAGTTGCGTCGCTCATAGAAGCGACGCAAATACACTATAAATGAGCGACACAAATGAGCCTTTTTCTACTAGTGTAATTTAGAATTAATTAATTATGTCTCGCGAAATGGGATCAAATTCCGAGGCCATGGCACGCAAAACGAGGCAAAGAACCACACTTGGCTAGCCGGGCTGCATAGCAGCCCGCATGTGGCTGCCAAGGTGGCTGCCCCGCCTTGCATGCGGCCATATGCGCGGCAGCAGCACACGGCCACAGCAGCCACGCAGCAGCAGCCATGGTTGTGCGTGCGTGTGCGTGCGACAGTGACAGCAGCTCAAGGCTGCTTGCCGCGGGCCGTGTGTGCGGAGCTTTTGTGTGTGTATGTGCTTGGTGTGGTGAGGCGAATGGTCGTAGTGTGCTTGGTTTGCACGAGCCGTAATTATTCGAGTTTCTTTGGCAAAACGCTTAAAGCGAAAGCCACTTGAAATGCGGTTGGCTTAATATTTGCCTATTTTGCCGTTTTATTTATTTTAATTAATTTTGTTTATTTTAATTAAAATTTTGGGAGGCTAGGCCTCGATTTTGAGCGGCATTGGCAAATTTTATTTTGACAAGTTTTGGTGCTACCGACTTAATTAATTGGATTAATTAAGGGAAATGCGGAATTTAGTGGGAGCTTCAATTATTAATGACCTCAATTACGTAATCGGTTAAACAACTTTGACTAGTTTTAATTAGGCGTGTTAATCGGATTAACCACCTAGATTAGTTACTAGTGCGCGCGTTGTTTAAATGCTTTTTACTTGTTTGATATTGTAAATTGCATGGGCCATTCACAAATAGTGAATGGATGAATGGAATTTATATTCTCTCTCACAGGTTTCATGAAATGGCAACTAGTGGGACCCGATTATGATAGAAAATATGGACTACGTGTCGTTATGTATTTTTGTAAATCTAAATACGATCTACGCACCGTTTAGTATTTTTGTACCTTAATATTTAGATTATTCCTAGTCGTAGACACTAGTATTTGCATAGTTTGGTTAAGTCTTGAAGACGGCGTATCTTGGAAGACAAAGCCTTGAATTGCAAATGAAGACCTTTTGAAGACTTGAAGAATTCAAGAGGTCATGCTAGTTGCCAATATGCATCTATAATTTCGCTTTATATTTTATGCTTATATATACATGTGAATTATTCGTTAGATGCATGTTTAGGTTTTCTTTATGTTGCGATGATTAGTTAAGTTCATTTAAATCAACCAACATAGAAATCCTAGGTCCCTAATAATATTGAGTCAAATTTGCCTTTCCAAAACAACACTTACCAACCGAACGAGGGTGATGGTAGGCTATGCCAAAGCGAGGTGCCATCACTACTCCAAGGCTCATAAGGCACACCGAGTGTGCATGTTGGTTTGGTTGAACTCATCGGTATGAGTGAGAGGTCCTCACATACCGTGGAAAAAGAGATACATCGTCAAAGATGCATTAGATGCGACGATTATCTAACCAAGAGTGTCTTAGAGCCATTAGCAAGGCAATGCTTACCTTAGAAGATTGAGTGTTAAGACAAGCCAAAGCATGCTTAACCACTCTTTGTTTCTTCGGATCTTAGAATCGCCTTATTTTCGCCAAATAGGGACAATTTTGATGCGTAAATAAGACGTTTAATAAGATTGAAATTTGCATGAATGCTATTAAATTTCAAACTTATTATGTTCTTGATAAATGGCTATACTTTGCACTTATATTTATAGTATTCTAAATCAAATAATATTGTTTCCATGATTGGTAAAGGAAATCCTTGAGAATAGTTCTCAAAGACAGGAAAAGCATTTCTAAAATACAATTCTCATAAATGACTTTTATAACTAAGTCCGAAAGAACGGTTGGACATCATGTGTTCAAAATACTAGGTAGTTTTGATAAAACATGAGGTATTGAGTTGCAAACTCAAGATTGTCAATGTTTGACAATTGATGTGTCTATTTTATATAGTATTTTACCCCCATCCCTTGGTCATAATTAGTAGTGTTTTTGGCTCTTTAGAGCCACTTTTATTACTAATTGGTGTTTTTTAGTGTTTTCGTAGATTTGGTTGACTTTTGCAGGGATTTATGCTTTTGGAGTATTTTCCCGAGATATTTTGGAGCAATCACGAGCATCGGAGAAACACGACCAGATTCCATAGCCCAGGGCCGGTTAGAGCTATCGAACCGGTGATTAAGGGCTCGGAATAGGTGATACCGGGGCATTTGGACCGAGTATTCAAGACCCAAAGGGGAAACCCGGATTGGCCCGAAGAATTGGAGCCCAATCGTAGTCCAAATAGTGGCCCAAGAGAGCCGCCTGGCCAAAAAGGCTGGCGCCCGGAGGCGCGCCCGGCCGGGCGGGAGAAGCAAAGGTCGATGCCCGGCCAAAGAGGCTGGCGCCCGGAGGCGCGCCCGGCCGGGCGAGAGAAGCAAAGGTTGGCGCCCGAAGGCGCGCCCAATCGGGCGGTGCCTCGCCCGATCGGGCGCGTGTATTGATTAGGAGACGATTAACGTCGTTTTAGTTTGTTTTAGTTTAGGATTTGTACGGAGTATAAATACTTCTCCGCAATACGATTTTAGGGGATATCTCTCTCTTTCCTCTCTCTCTTTTTACTCTTTCTTACTCTCTTAATTGTTCTTTTAGATTTATTTCTCTTAAACCTTTGTTCTTAATCTACTCTTAATTCTAGATTTATTTTGGTAACGATCACTAGTAGAAAAAACAATTCCCCACCAGTTCAAAACCCCCCTATGCCACCGGTTTTGAACCAGTGGTCATTTGGGGGGTGGCAATACTCAGTTTAAAAAGCCACCGGTTCAAAACCGGTGGCAAAAGCTATTCCCGCTTTATTTTTTTTTTGTATTACATATAAATGCCACCGGTTAACCGGTGGCAATGTACATTTATTAATTTTATTTTTGCCTTTTTCAAAAAGAAATATCATAGAATTATAACATCAAAATAAAAATCAAACAATATCAATAAATATAACCGAAAATTTACAATATATAATCCAAAAAATTTACAGTATAGATCGATAAAATCGATCAATTATTTCCTCGAAAAAAAATAAAAAAATCGATCAATTACAACATAAAAATAAAAAAAAAAACAATATTAATCAAAAAAAATTACAATCTAAATCAATATTCTTCGACTTGATTCTTCGATTTAAGATCTAATTCAATATACCTGCACCAATTAAAACAAAAAAAAATAAATCGATATGCATGTAGCCTTAAATCGAATAAAATCAGTTAAAAAAACCCAGAAAAATAAAAACAAAAACCCAGAAAAAAAAAACCAAATTTATGTTCAAGAACTCGGAACAGAAACCCAGAATTTAAAATCACCCCCAGAAAATTCCAAAATAGATTAAAAAAAAATTGATTTAAGGCAAAAAAATCAAAATAAATCACCCCCAGAAATAATAACAAAAACCCAGAAAAAAAAAACAAATTTATGTTCAAGAACTCGGAACAGAAACCCGGAATTTAAATCAAATTCAAATCGATTAAAACAAAAAAAATCGAATTTAAATCGATCAAAATTACCCCCAGAAAATTCCTAAATAGATTAAAATCAAAAAAATCGAATTAAAATTTCAAAATCACCCCAGAAAATTCCAAAATCAATTAAACCCATCAATTCTGAACAATATTACAACAATCAAACCCAAAAAAATCAAGACATTAAACAAAAATAATTAAGCCCAGAAACCCTAACCTCGAATAATTAAACCCAGAAACATTGCATGCACTAAGCGAGGGTGTTGTTGTTGATGTCGGAGTTGGTGGCGGCGGTGGTTAGTGGTGGTGGTGGTGGTGAGACGAGGGAGAGAAGAGAGAAGGAGAGACGAGAGAGAAGGAGAGACGAGGGAGAGGAGAGATAAGAGGACGACGGTGGTGATGGTGGTGGTGGTGAGACGAGAGAGCAGGAGATCGAGAGAGGGAGAGCAGGAAGATCGAAAGAGGGAAGAGCAGGAAGATCGAGAGAGGGGAGAGCAGAGAGCAGGAGAGAGAAGGAGTGAGGAGGAGGGAGGCTGGTGAGTGCGTGAATGATGGTAGCAGGGTAGGGTTAGGGTTTATATATGGTTTTTTTTTTTTTTAATAAAATGCCACCAGTTCAAACCGGTGGGAATAATGGTTTTCCCACCGGTTTGGTTTAAACCGGTGGGAAAAACCACTCCTCAAAATCCTGCCTATTTTTCTCCATATTTTCCCCACCGGTTTTTTAAAACCGGTGGCCTTGGGGCGGTGCCAATCTTTTTTTTTTCACCTAGTGGATTTCTCTTCTCTTAATTTTAGTTGTTTATTTTATTCCTTTCATGATGTCTTGCTTTATTGATTTGATTAGTTTAATTTCTACTATGTGTGAGTAGTTTTATTTCTAGGGTTTATGGGGATCCATAAATAATATGAAGGGGTAATTTATTGTTGTTAATTATCAATGCTAGATTAATTTCCTATTGATTGATTTAATACTCTGTGACTAAATTAGGCCTGATCTTTTATGCATGAGTTTGACAACATTGATTCGAGATTCGAGAGATGAGAATTGATGTTTAGGTCTAGTTTCAATAGGCAGGTTAATTTATAAATGGTGAAGTCGAGATTC